TGTGAAATCTCACCCGACATTATTAATTCAATATTCCAATGTCTCCTCCTCTGCAAATCATTCAAACATCAGACACCTTGGGGAAGGACTCTTTAATTAAAACATGGGAAGGCTACAATAAGTAAGTATTTCTGTCACATCATTTGTGGGCCTTGCGTCCTTAGTTGAACATGCTCTGTGTGGATTATGCAGAGAGCAACACGTGGAATTGTGGAGAAGAGAGAAGAGAAAAATAGCCAGTCTTAATTACCCTACTGCCTCATCAAGCTTCTGAGAATTAGATGATCCCCCCACCAACATTTTAGTAAGTATGCTACCAATATGAAATGATGGGTGGGACCTAAGTTCAGATTTAAACCTAGCATTAAATCGTATTACTGTCCTATAGGAGATAGTATGGGGAACCTGTGGTCCTCCAATGCTGTGAGACTCCAATTCCCATCAATACCAGGCATCATGGCCAATGGTCAGGATGATGTGAGTTGTAGTTCAGCAAGATCGGGGAGGGGGGCACAGGCGTCCCACCCCTGTTGGTTGGGATGCTTGAGGAATTTACTCTGTGAATTCCAAAGTGAACTGACCTAACCCCCACAGGCTAATGTGTGGATTGAGCTTCTTCAGGTTCTGCACTTCTCCCAAATTTGTTATATAGCTCTAGACTGAAAAACACACCAAAATGAGTTACAGAATGGTTATTTTAGGATACAAAAGGTTTTGAAATGCATACACTGAGATAAAATATTTAAATATATTAATGCAAAAACAGGAAATAGCTTTACTATGAATAAATACATGCAAAATTGATGCTGACTGGTAACAGACTGATTCATCCACCCCTAGATGAGGGTATACCAAGTATAGCTACATTTATAATTAAGGCTTCCAAATTGAAACTGCCTTTTAGTGGGTTCACCAGAAACATTTGCTGTTGTGCACAAGGGAGATGTTCACTGAACACAACGTCAAGTGCCCTTGTGGGTTTGAAGTTAAAAGCCCTGCATGCATGGGGACCTAGAACATGGACAGAGTGCCACGTGAAATATCCCAAAACTTTTTGAAACAAAAGGGATTGGGGTGGGGGGTGGAAATCAGCATCTGTAGTAGCAGATAGCCTGACCCAATCTGCAACTATACAGAAGTGTAAGAAAATAAGAATCCTACTGGATCAGATGGAAGGCTCCCCTCAAGTGTGGGTTGGGGTTCATTATCAATACAAGGTAAACTGTCACACTTTAACACAGTGACTAAGGGACAGGCAATGCATTAGCTGGCCCCTTTCAGACACTGCACTAACCACAGTTAATGTGTATCATAATTCTATGCCCGGACAACATGGCAAACTGTGGTTAACAAAAAACATGGCAAACTGTGGTTAACGAAAAACAGAAGATTCCAAACTCCACAGAAGGAGAGCGGAGCAGCGTGTGTGTGAAAACAAGGCTTTCTGTGGCTGTTCCTAGTTGTGGTATGCAAACTGGACCAATGTATAGCTTACCTTTTGTCCCACAAAGTCTTTCTGACTGGTTCCACTATTGCCACAGTACAAGCCTTTCGAGTGAAAAGCAGTGGTGAGAGGGACGCAGTGGCCTTTGTGGACTAGATACATTGCCTGCGCTTGTTTTAACCTGAAAACCTAAGCAGTGGTGGGACTGTTCCACCTTCCAAAACACATAGGAATCCCAAGAATTACAGCCATAAATATTTTCCAGCGAACACACAAGGAAGAAGTAGTGCCACAATTTACTTCTAAGATGAACAACAAGACTGCACAATAAAGAAGCAGTTTTGAGAATAGCTCCGTGGACAATGCTGGGATCAACAAAGAGATAATAAAATGATGTCGCCTGATAATAGCTGGGGCAGCATCTTCCTTTCTCCCAAGTCAAGAGTAAAACAGTAGCTACAGTATAAGAAACAAAACACAGCCAATTTCATAAAAGGCAGAGCTGTCATCGCTACAGGGAGAGCAGAAGGCAGCAGCCACACAACACAGCATGCCTGCCAGCCTTGCCAACACACACACATACACACACAATGTTTCTTTCTTCCCCTGTTCAGAAAACTCGCTATACTGTGTGATATGAGAAGCAAAGCCAAAAAATAAATAAATCTGTGCTACTGGGAAAGGAGAACATAGCAGCCAAACAAACCGCTCCTTGTCAATATTTGTCAAACAAACTGGGCACACACAGTAAATACCCCCCAACATCTGTGTAATTTGCTCCTTCAGCAAGGAGATCCTTGAGAAGGAGTTGCAACATGTGTTTGCAATGGGAGGGTCTCTCTGTCTCTCTCCTCAGGCACCTCCCTGAAGCAGTTCTTGTTAAGACTTGTGGTTTCAAAGTGCCTGCAAAAAAAGCTAAGTCATTGGGGGCTGATGACAGAAAGACACACCAAGACATTTCCATATTGTGGGAAGTCTCGCAAAGTTAACAAATAAGTAAACAAACCAACATAGAACTTTCTTTCCAATAATGCCATGAGAAACAATCAAAAATGCAGAAAATGAACCCTGCCCAAGGCAAAACACTGACACAAGCTTAAATCATTGTTTGATTTGCAACACATTTCTCCCAGTTACTATTCAGATCCAGCTTCTTACTTAAACACAAACACACACTGAATCTTTTAAAAGATTTAGCAGTTTCTGCTAGGACACATACAATTGTAGAGTTGCAAGGGACCACAAGGGTCATCTAGTCCAACCCCCTGCAATGCAGAAATCTTTCACCTGACGTGGGGCTCATGATGCAAGACAGCCAACAAATTGAAGCACAAAAGTATATTATGGGAAAGCATTAGTGTTTCCCGAGACCTATCAACAGCCCCCCTGAAGGTTTGACTCCAAAGTTACAAGCAAGAATATAAGACAGTGATTTTGCTGAAGGGCATGTAGTGACATTTAGTTAGTGGCACAACATTGTCAGACGCTACATAGAACAGAGAAGCAATGTGGTTCCTGCCAAGAAGGCTCATGATCTAAGTTCAACAGGACAAAAGTGAAGGAGAGGACATGACCTGAAAGTGGAACAGTGAGGCTTGGGGAGGGTCACAGTGATACCAGAGGTTTTAAGGAAGGCAGTTGTGTGAGAAGCAATTTAAGCATGGCAGTTAAGGCCATGTTCACATGAACAGTTATTACAGTTCGAAGATGTCCACAATGGAAGTAAAATCATTGAAAGAAAGGAAGGATCCACTAAAGGGATCTCACTCTAGAAAGAACAGCAGAGGGACTCCTGGGATACAGGATACTTTAGCAGAGCAGCTTCTAAAATTCTGAAGATGGGGGAACCATGTGAATCAATTGTGACTCCAAATTCATTTTTTGATACGGCGAGCAGAAACTGGAACCAATTACTTTTTTAAAATGAACTTGCCAGGCACTGATCAAAGACTATTTTTAAAAAAGATAGTTTGGACTTTGGAGTCAATGCAAGACCCAACACAGCCTCAGTGCTAATCTCAAATCTGCTTTGTGAATGAAACAATCCTGGAGCCATTCCAAGAAAAGTACTTTTGCAGCTCATACAAGTGGCATGCAGCAAAATTCATTAAGATGGGGATGGCTAACCTGTGGCCTTCCAGTTGGTGTTGGACTCCCATCAGTCCCAGACCATCAGCCCCAGTCAGCATGGCCAGTGGTCAGGGATGGATGGAAGTAATAGTAATAGTACAGCAGCATCTGGTTAGCCAATCCTACGTTAATGCAGTATCTGTAAAGCACACTTAAAGGCTCGGGAGATACCAACTATATTATGAATTATATTTAATAATCAGCTAAAAGTGATTTTCAAATAAATTCCAACCATGTAATAGAAGCATAGGAAATTCTCCACAAGCAAAGTAAAGGCGTAACAGAACGTTCAGTGCCTTACCACTGCCTATCCTCCTCTCTCAACGATATGCTGAACATATACAAAGATGTACTTAAAGATGACGCTTCTCCCCTTAAAATGGTACCTAGAAGGTGCTAGAAGCACACCAAAAGCTTATATGCACTGAAATCCTCCATACTCCTCTGAGAGAGGGAGAAACAAATAACTTAAAGATTATTTGAATGCAAGAGCCTGCATTCTCTGGAGGTTTTAACCAGGGATGAGGAACCTGTGCCCCTCCCAAGTGCTGTTGTACTACAACCCACACAATCCCTGACAATTGGCCATGCCAGCTGGGGCCGATAGGACTCCCAGGAACATCTGGAGGGTCATAAGCTTATCAAAGGCAAGTGATCTAAATCTCCCAGGACCAACAATACCTCTCAGTCAGAACACTGCAGGTTTTATCCCTTTGTTCGGTTGTTCTCTCTAAAGCGAGGGGTACTGGGAAGACCACATAAAGCAGCAGACCCGCGTGTAGGGGACAGAGGATGAGAATACTGCCTGGATGAATGGGGCCAAGGAGGAATGTGGTAGTTACAGAGTGTTGCACAGAATAGTAGCAGGTGGCTCTGCCTGTGTGATATTTTGTCACTAATATCACACCTGTGATATTAGTGTCAAAATATCACAGGTAGATCATGACGTCTGTTGTAGATCACTGGCCAACAACTTTGACCTGAACCCCAAAAAGGGGGTAGATCACTCTGTTAGTAGATCACAGTCTCTTGGGAGTTGGCCACCCCTACAATACAGTGGTACCTTGGGTTAAGAACTTAATTCGTTCTGGAGGTCCGTTCTTAACCTGAAACTGTTCTTAACCTGAGGTACCACTTTAACTAATGGGGCCTCCCGCTGCCGCTGCCATGCAATTTCTGTTCTCATCCTGAAGCAAAGTACCTGAGGTACTATTTCTGGGTTAGCGGAGTCTGTAACCTGAAGTGTCTGTCACCTGAAGCATCTGTAACCCGAGGTACAGGTATAGGAAGGCGTGGGAAACAAAAGACAATGCTTTCTCCTTGCCACATAAAGCACACAATGGCAGCAAAATCTTGCTTGTTTAGACATGGGCAATTCACCAGGTGGGAGAAGGGAGGGCACCATATTGGGCAGGACATTACATACCTGCAATCTATCCATGATATAGTACCTCGGCCTTTCACCGCTTGGGCTACATCAGATAATAACCTGAGTGAAGTGTCAGCAGCAGCCGCTGGAAAAGAGAGCAAAATAAACAAACAAATAAATAAATGTACTGTATGTATTGAAACAATAATTAATATCCAGTGCAACTCTGCAGAATTCTGTGCTGAAACACTTTCACTAAGTTCTCCCTGCCAGAAAAACAAACAGTTGCCAGAGGCAGCATAGGCTTTTCCCTCAACATTTTACTAAGGGCTGGGATCCAAAGAGCCACTTTAGATATGCCCAAGAATTTGGGCATGCTCAGTAGGATTTTAGATTTTTCTTCTTCCTTATTTGGACACTCTGCTCCATACCACACACTGTTTCTGGATGTCAGTTTCAAGTGTGGTTTACCATCTGTCATGGATGTTGTTGAAATGTCACAAGCCCAAAACCTCCTTAGGTACGGGGGGGAAATTACATTCACTTTCTGTCAATGAATACAGTAAGGCAGATGTGATGAACCTTTGACCCTCCAGATGTTGCTGAACTACAGATCCCATCATCCCTGGCCTTGCTTGCTGGGGCTGATGGGAGTTGTAATACAGCAACAATTGGAGGGCCCTATCTGCAGCAAGGAAACTATGTTTGCCTACCTTTCATCATGCTGATCTTCATGGCTAAGCAATTTCCTCTCTAGCTTTTAGCTTCCCCAAGCAAGTATGTCCCTGCTCCCATTCCATGTGCTTGGGCAAGTTTCGACACTGACAAGTAAGTTTTTGTTTTAGTCAGTCCATACCAGGACACCAAGAACAGAGTCAGCACAGGTTCTAAGTAGAGGCCAGTATGAGATGCCTCCGTGTCTGTTTGGCAGCATGAGACAGTCTCCCATCCCTGAGCTGTACTTGGGAAGATACAGCCAGAACCCACCCATGTTCTGAATCAGGACCCTGCTGGTGTTCAAGAATAGCAAGAGCCAAATACAAAGCTGCTCAATGTGCATCTAGTTGTCACACCACACCATGCCCATCTCTCAAGTCCCATTAACTGGACAGCTCTCCTACTATTCTAGAAACCTTATCTCTGATTCATTGGACAGCTCACCATCCTCAATGGCAAGATTGAAATCTGAGCCACGGTGATGAGAACAGGGCAAACAGTAAGATATCTTCAGACATATAAAATATATTTTCTAGGGAGGGAAAGTTGAACTCTGAGAAGACTGCCCCCTTTCCTTGCAATTTTTACTCAAGTAGGGTTTTGCATAAAATTAGTTAATATTTTTACCACAACTGCATTTAGCTATATCGTTAAGTGTGAATATTTTACACATGTAAATTTCCTCCATCTATTTAGAGAGCTAATCTTAGCTTCTTTTCCATTGCTTAATGTGAAAAATCTGATAGATTGTTTTTAACAGTCAGATTCAGCTCCGATATGTGTCATGCATCAGATATGAGACATTTTTTTAAATAAAAAATAATAGTAAGATAACGTTTACAGCAATCTTTTAGGAAATATAAATGCCATCCTATTCTGTATGTTTGGATATGCTGTTAGACACTCTACTTGACAGCAGAAAAACAAAAGACACATAGGCCAGCACTGCTTTAAAATCCTCTTTCAAATTCAGAGAATGAAGTTAGAAACCCTGTTGCAAATTGAACTTTAAGAGTTAGTACAGAAAGACAAGAGTAGAAAATGAGCTTGCTATTCTACCTTATGCTACCAATAGCATAAATGTTTTAACAGCAATTAGGTCACATGAGCATCCATTAAAAGCTATTTCACTTTCTAGAGCAATTGAGGAAAAGTTTATCCTTCTGCTACAAGTGCCTTATCTGAATTTTAAAGGAAATCTTACAGTAGAGAGGTAGGTGAAGAGGAACAGCATTTTCACTATTCTCCCCTGCTACCATCAAACCCACTGTTTTAGAATGCATGGATAGAGAGAATCTGATACACCGTCATAGTGCTGTGAGGAGAGGAAGAATCCCAAATACCCTTCAGGAACAACCAGCAGGAGACTCCAGGTGCTCAAACTCCTACATGGTCATGTGGTTCCAAAACAGGTGAGAGGCTGCTCACACACAGTATGAATTGAGGACGTTCCTTCTCAAACATAAAAAGTGAACCTTATGGGAATACTGTAAAGGCAGCCTGACAGATGTGAAGAGGAATTCTAATTAGCACCTACATAATAGTTCTTTTCCACAAACAACTTCTACTGCAGAGAAAGGTAACTTGGGTTTACATTATATTAAGAAATGAGGTAGCAATATCCCAACTCTGAAAGATAATTCCACTCTACAGATTTGTTGAGCTATTCCTTGTCGAAGACAATGTGCATTGTTTTGCTGATAATTAGCAATCCACATTATCTTGCAAGTTATAGATTTACTTTTAATATATAATTACCGTATTTTTCGCACCATAGGACGCACTTTTTCCCCTCCAAAAATGAAGGGGAAATGTGTGTGCGTCCTATGGTGCGAATGCAGGCTTTCGCTGAAGCCTGGAGAGTGAGAGGGGTCGGTGCGCACCGACCCCTCACGCTCTCCAGGCTTTGCACACCTCTCCGCAAGCAGCGGGAGCCCAAATGGAGCTATGCAGTCCCTTAGTGGTGGACAGGCCATTTCTAAGTGTTGTTCATCACTGGTCCTTCTCTAGTAACTCTGAAGAAGTTTTTTCATTGGAACAAGTGTTTCAGGACACTTTATAGCTGAGTCCTGTTGAATTATTTTGACTTTGATATTAGCACAGACATTACTCCAAACCATGGTTTGTATTTAGAACCTGAACCATGTACTGAACTTCCAAACTCACAGGCAAATCATGCATTATTTCCACTTGTTTGCTTTCATTTTCTGACAGCTGAGCAATCCAGGCTCTGGGGGGAACTGTAGACATAACTATTGTTTGTGGACTCCGACAGCACTCGAAATCACAGTCAGCATATCCCACTTTAAACCATGGCTGCAGCTTCTGGTCTGCTGGCCAATCTTCTTAATCATGGTTTTGGAAGGTGGTTTAATCAAGCATCTGTTCCCTTTCCTGTCCCCTCCATTATCTAATTAATCAATAGAAATTAGTAAAAGAGTCCTGCCTTAGTAGCAAGATGAGATGAACCTCAGTCACTTAAGATTCCATAAAATTCTGCCCTTTAATCTAATTATATTGCAGTCAATGTAATATATTCTAAAATCAGATAAGTTAAAAAAACAAAAATCTAATTCTTGAATAAGCTTCCCCAAACAAGCTACTTGGGAGAAGCAGCTCTCCCCCTTTCAGAATAAGCAACAAGGGGGCTTAAGCCTAAGAGCAACTGAAAACTGCATAATAAAATTTAAAAACCAACATCTCTTGGCTTGTTCCTCTTCCTCACCCAAAGCGGGGACTCAAGGAGGGAATAAAAAAGCATTAAAGAGACCAATTTGATCTAATTTCCAAGCTAATGTGCAGATCATACATCTCCTGGCCAAGTAAATATCACAGCCATGAAATATTAGGCGTAATTAGCCTTTCTGCACATAGTGCCCTAAATGGGCCAAGCTCTTGCAAATAATCTTGCCAAGAGCAGCTCACAATCCAGTACAGACAATTAAAAAGAGAGAGAAAGAAAGCAGAAGAAAAGCTGTACTATAGAATCAGGGATGGAGGCAGAAGGAGGAAACCAGCAGAGAAAAGAAGTTGATTGTAACTGAAAGAGACAGCAAGTGGGTGGCTAGCAGACAAGAAGTTAAGAAGGGTATTTCAAGCGGAGGTGAAGCATAAGAAGATGCAAACGGAACAGACCAAAGGCGGGGGGGGGGGGGGCGGAGAGAGAGAGAAGGAAACAGAAGGATAAACACAAATGCTGGTGACACCAACTTGGTGTGTGGGGATGCTTGTATAACTAGGCGTAGAGGAAGGAAAAATGCTCTTTTTCACACACAGTGTTTATATATTATATATATATGATAAAGGGCAAATAAAACTATTGCTGAGAATATCCTTGATGTGTGTTAAGAGAACAAAGGGAAAAGAAATGGTATGAAGAGTGCCTCAAGGCAAAAGAGTGGAATGACTTGTGTGATGTTAAGCCGAAAAACTCACCAGATCTGCCTCCATCTGCGCTTCTCGTTATAGGACTGCTCTTACAAAACAGAAGCGATACATCGTTTTATTTATAAAAGTTATAAAATTTAAAAAAACTTATTTTCTTCAGTGTAAGGACAGGAAGGAAAATAGCAAGAGAGAAATGAATTCATTTCTGGGGGGGGGATCAAAAGTTTTATCAGCAAATGCTTGTATCAGTCTGCAAAACAGTCTGCTATTTATCAGATATACAGTATATAACTTTTAAAAAATAATAATAATCCTTGCTCTTTTAGTGATCCTTTCAACCTTGACAGCTACTCAGCATTATTTGTTAACATATTAATTGCCCTTAAACCTTTGCTTGTTTTTTAATGAGCAGCACTCACAAGATTTGGAATATAGCACCAACACATTGTTCCGTGTTCTCAGGAGCTTCTTGAAGTCCTTCTGATCACTAATTTTCTCTATCAATGGGGACATCTTTGCTGATAATAGGCAGGCTGGAAAGATGGTCTGCAGTGGAAAGACAAAAAGAAAAACAAGCAGGCACATTACTATTACGACACAACCTGTTTGCATGACAGGGCGCAGCAGAGCCAAAGGGGGCTGAATACAAAACAGGCAGCAATAAAACATGTGACATAAGTATGGGGTTAAACAGGCCACAGCTGTATTGATTACAGATGTCAGCAGGTTTTGGCATAGGGAATGGGTATGTCTCCTTAAATCAACCAGCCCACCTGCGAGTTGTGGATCAGCAGGGTTGATCAAGGTTACAGGTCACCCTATGACATGCATCAATTCTAGGAAACCTCCATAACCACCATTTGGGGGTGCTATGGCCCGTCAGCCCCCGAGTTGAGTATCCAGACAAGTAGCTCCTCCCCAAGCTCTATAACCAGTGGAAGAACAAAGTGGCAATTACTTTTCCTGCCAACTACCCACACTCTTGCACACTCCTAGGGCGGATCTACACACAGGGAAAAAACGCTATAAATAAGTCAGAAATTAAATCATTATAACAAAGGAGGGAGGAACTATGTAAGATCACATAGAAAAGTTTTCTGCTCTACAGCACCATCTGGTGTTGCATGTTTATAACACATTCAAAACACTGTTTTTTGACTAATGTAGCTGAGTCCCTATTTAACCATGGTTTGGTATAGCATCACATGTGAACTGGACCACTGGTTCTTAGTCCACAACCTGCCACATGCCTTCCGAGACACAAAGACCTACCTGAAGTCTAAAAAAGGCAGATATGAGACAAATGTATCCCTAAACAGGTAAGCAAGTGAAAGACCCACTGTAGGGTAGGGATGGCAAAGAAAGAAAGCAATGCCCAAATTTCAAACCACTATGAGTCATAGGACTAGAAAGCCATCTCATAGCAAGGCAGAACACTGGTTGACCTTGCTCAGTTTAGTCTACACAAACTGGCAAAGGCTCTCCAGGGCTTCAGACAGGGGACAATCCCAGTCCTACCTTGACACAAAACATGTGCTCTCCCAATGACCTATGTCCCTTCCTCTGCTTGATGCAGCAAGCAATCCTGGGACACCAATGGAAACAGACCCCAAAGAGGTCATGGAGAAACTAAAAGGGTTTACAATAGGGATACAACAATCCCTCACACCATCCAGCAAGGTAGTGGCATTGGTTTCAATTAGAACTGCATGGTAAATATATATTAGATGCAATTAAGAGGCCTAATGTGGGCACTCAAAACAGGTTCCTATTAGGGAACCCAGCAGACACAATGCTATCCATGGCCGCAGCTTCTACACAATCCTGGAACAGGTATCACTGACCAAAATAGATATCACCTGTATTCATCTTCTTCAGAACGAAAGAGTTAGCGAGGAAGGGTATGCAGTAGCAAAGAAGGATTTTTCAGGGATCAATATGAACGCCAAAAAATCCCACTTTATTTTCATGGCAATCAACATTGCTGTTGGAGGCTATAAGGGATATTGCAATTATTGCATTGTCTGCCTCCCACTGTCTGTAGGCAAGCTGTTATTGAGTCTAACTCTTGAACAAGAGACATACATTCTAGCCCTGTAGTCTATTAAAACACTGTGTTTCTCCTGCAGCCTCTTCACTTCCCCATTCAATGCTATTACTTAGTGAAAGCCTCACCCTCCCCAACTATGTGTTTTTAATATCCGCTGCACCGGTTTGGAGCTATGAAGAGTGAAAAACTGAAGAAAGTTTGAATTCAAACACCTCACACAAAGGGGTGATCAAATAAGACGAACAGTAAATGTGTAACTTTGCAAACGCAGCCCTGCATGCACTGATATGATGGTAATACACCAGGGATGCTGAACTGAGGGCAGCATTCCCTGTGACTTACTCTTCAGGGAGTCACATACCAGGAGCGGAGTTGGCCAGGGATAAAAGTGGGCAGGGCAACCCCTTTTCTCCCCAATATCCCTCTTCTCTCTCTCTCCCCCTGCCCCCCATTCTGCTATCCCAAGTAAAGTTGTCCCTCACCACATGTGACAGTAGTCTCTCATTACACACAACCTGCTCAGACAGAATATATGTGACCTGCTGCGCTGCCTAAACCCCTTTGCCGTTCATGTGATTTCTCGGGGGAAGTGTGCATTTTCGGAGGCCAGAAAAATGTGCTGCAGCGCACTCATTTCTTTAAAGTGTGATTACAGGAACAGTTCTGAGAATTAACATGCCGTGTCTGTAATTAATGCTTGTTCCCTTCTTATAGCTATGAGGGGGTGTCCAGTATTACTTTCTGCCTGCTGAGTCTAAAAGCTGGACTTACTTACTTTAAAATGCAGTGCTTACCTGCTCAAAGCTTCCAATACACTGCGGGAAGTCATGTGTCTCCGGAGAGTAAATAGCACACTATGTAAATTAGGATTTTAATACAATCAAATGGATTTTAACCAAGTCTCACCATCACCAGATTCTGTAGCAAAATCCAGGTGGCCTTATTAAAAGAGATGCTTATAGAGGTAGCTTGGAATTATTCCTCTCAAAAATGGAAATGAGGCAGTGCAAGTTTCAGTGGAGTTTTGCTGCAGCATCAGACACCCCCTGGGGGAAACACAATCTTAGGCACTACATGCCTCCACACACTTGTGTCTTCTGTGTCACTTCTGTTGTATGACACAGCTTGCAAACATTAATTCCTGTCAAACAGTGTTTAAAACATGAATTTATATCCCAAAAGCAAATTCTGCCTTATGTTATACCCCCAAATGATTCATGCAGTAACAGAGAATTTCCTCAGTTTCTGCTCTGAACCATGGGCACAGGTGCCATGCCATTTCCCTTGTATGGCGGGCCTCCAAGTATCCCACTGGCACTTGCTGAATAAATCACCACCATTTCCTCTGTATTAAGATTAATGTTTTGCCCTGTCGAGGCCACCAGAACCTAAATGTTCACTGCAAGTGTTCTGTGCTGGCAGGTGGAATGTGGAAATCTGCATATTCATGCTTAGGGCTCTGCATCAGATATTCAGTAGGTGATCGAGGGCATCCCAAGAACTCGTCACCTTGAGATAAGCACTGTGGACTACATGACATTTGCAAGTTGATAAGAGTTAAAAAGTCGGATAATGCAATTCTCTTTTCAGAAGCAGCTCCGTGCATTAATTCAGACATCAGGCCACACTCCTCTAAGCAGCTTCCTCTGTAAACAGCTGCTAGGAGTTGTCATTAACTCACTTGGGACTCCATGCAGTTGTAATGTCTCTCTCACATGAATGAGGAACAGGAAGCATAATCTACTTAAATCTTTTCCCAGGGGTGTGAGGGGATCCATCTTAATAACTCTGGAGTATGACAAGGGTGATGGGTGTTATTTTTGACCAATGGCTTTTTTGGACACCCTTCTTCTGGGCCTTGAGAATGTCATGAGCCCAAATGCTCTAATATTCCCCTTCTCCCCTTCCCACCCCTCATTGTTTAGTTTTTTTATGTCAGTTAGTAGGGAGTGCCTAGCACTGCCCAGGATTATTATTTTTTAGAAACCAAAAAATATTGTGATTTTTAAGTGGATTGTGTGTTTTGTGAGCTTGGGCCACTCGCATAAAATACTGGGCAATTCAAAATGGCATCTTCATTCGAAGTGGAACCTGGTATCCAGACATTGATGAAGGCTGCTACCACAACCTCAGGAACCCTCATGCCGTGTGTGGCAATGGTATCTTAAGAGGTGGCCAAATCTATGCCAAAAAACCAATTGACATCACACCAAAGTCAAATATCAAGTCCATCAGCTTAGACCCCCCCCCCACCTACAACTCAGGAACCCTCACGCCAAGTTCAGCAAAACTATCTTAAGAGGTGGCCAAGACTATGCCCAAAAAAATAGCATAGTCACCAAAGTCATGTCTTAGTCTGCCATCTTGATTCAAAATGGTAACCTTCACCTAAATGTCAATGAGGAATGCCATCTCTACCTCAGGGACCCTTGTGCCAGGTTTGGTGACAATATCTTGAGAGGCATCCAAACAAACAGAGAACCAAAAAAAAAAGTGGACAGACAGACAAAACTACTTTCCAAATTATACAGCATGCTGGTGAGGAGTGACCTGCACCACCCATAATAATAATAATAATAATAATAATAATAATAATAATAATAATAATGATAATAATAATTTATTTATACCCTACCCATCTGGCTGGGCTAAAAGATATTATTTTCTTTAAATGGACAGTGTAATTTGAGAGTATCACACTAAGAATCAGGTTAGGTAAAGGTAAAGGTAAAGGTACCCCTGCCCGTACGGGCCAGTCTTGACAGACTCTGAGGTTGTGCGCTCATCTCACTCTATAGGCCAGAGCCAGCGCTGTCCACAGACACTTCCGGGTCACGTGGCCAGCGTGACGAAGCTGCTCTGGCGAGCCAGAGCCGCACACGGAAACGCCGTTTACCTTCCCGCTAGTAAGCGGTCCCTATTTATCTACTTGCACCCGGGGGTGCTTTCGAACTGCTAGGTTGGCAGGCGCTGGGACCGAGCAACGGGAGCGCACCCCGCCACGGGGATTCGAACCGCCGACCATGCAATCGGCAAGTCCTAGGCGCTGAGGTTTAACCCACAGCGCCACCCGCGTCAGGTTAAGTCATGCCAAAGTCACATTTTAGTCTGCCTTCCTGACTGAAAATGGTGCCTAGAATTTCAATGCTAACAAAGACCACAGCTCCCACCTTGGGAACCCTTGTGCTCGGAGATGCCAATAAAATGAGCACAGTCATGACAGTCACATTTCAGTTTGCCATCTTGATTTAATATGGTGCCTGGCATCCAAATATCAATATAGACCCCACCTCACAAACTGTTTTCTGCACCTGACTCTGGTTCGTAGGTATTGAGGCTCTAGCAAAAAACAAAGTACACCCAACAAGCCTGAATTCTATGTTAGGCTATCAGGGAGGTTGTATTTTTCAAGTCCCAGGTAGGAACATTTGTATCTCCATATATAGCTTTTCTCCATGAAAAAGTGTGAAGGTAAGAATCTAGTTCACTGTCAGCT